CTGGCTGCACACCTCTCTGATTTCTGCTTCCCGTGCGGAGCGTGACTGCGTGGGGGGTGCAGGGGAGGATCAAAGAGCTCCTCCTCCCCCAGCCACCCCCAGCCCCACAGACAAGCTGGCAGCACGTCTCACCTCCGCGCTGACGTCACCACCGCTCGGCTATTTCTGGCTCCCCTCCTGTGGGCGGAAATAACTGAGCAAAGCAGCCCCTGAGCCGCCCCCCAGGAGCAGCCTGGTCTGGGGCAAAGACAGTGCCAAGCCAGCCCGCGGTACGAGGCCGTGTCTGGGAGCAGCATGGCCCTCACACGCTCCTGCTGCTCCACGCTCCGTGAGCCGGACCCCAGAGCCAGTGGAGTTTGGACCAGGAGGGTTGAACTGAACCCCCAGGTCCAGGCCCAGCTGTGTGACGTCAGGGGAATCCCGGGGCAGGAAAGCCCCCGGCTCGCTGCTCACTCACCAGCCTTTCATGATTTTTACATGGACTCGTGTCCGATGAATAATTCAGGCCGTGCTACAAGTGGCAGCTTTTCCTGAGGCATCTCTCTGTCTGGCTGCGCTGCAGGCACCTGGGACTTGCCCGTGGTCGGCTCCACTCAGAGTCCTAGCCCTGCCTGGCCCTCACTTCCCCGCAGCAGTGAGAATCCAGGCAGCCCTGGCTGATAGCCGGTGACGAGCCCTGCCCTCCTCCTCATTGCCCATGGCATGGCTGCCTCACAGCCCCCTGCCCACCTGCCTGCGCCCGGTGGGACAGCCCCTCGCTCGCTCGCCACTAATTGGCCTTCGCAGATTGAGCTAATCAAGAGTGGAGGAGAGAAACCACATCAGCACATCTGGAGCCTGATTCTGCAGGTGGAGAGTCGGGTGTGGAGAGGGAGATCAGCAACCCCCGTGCAGCCGGGTCTGCTCCCCTCTGCCAGCCCCCCGTGGCAGGGCCTGCTCAGCTCCCCCAGGCCACGTGCCATGTGCTCTGGGCCTTACCTGCCGGCTGCTGCTCTCTGAGCCGGGCTGGAGCCCAGTGCCCTGGGGAAGGGGGCTGTGCTCGGTGGCCTTGCTCAGGGCTCTGCACTGCCATGCGCCCCTCCATGGCACGGTGCCCCATAGCATGTTCCCTTGTCTTCCCTAGGTATAATGGCCGGCTCCAACCGATCAGGAGACCTGCGCGATGCTCAGAAATCCATCCCCACAGGGACCATCCTGGCCATCGCCACAACGTCTGCTGTCTGTATCCTTGGCAGAGGGTCCGGGGCAAGAACAGGGCGACAGGGGCAGGGTCTTGTCTGCGTCTGAACCAGCCCCTGTGCGGGTCAGAGC